GTACTGATACTGTGGCCAGTGCTTTTACAATGTCCTGGGAAGTACAGCAGACTAGTAGATGTGAGATGGCCCCCTAGTGGTCTTGTTGTAGAAACACCCCAGACTAGAGACTGCATTAGAGGGTCCTGCATAAAGGAAGAGAATTAGGGAAGCCTGCCATTTAGCCCCTCTTCCTTTAGCAGCCAGCCCAGGGTAGGAGGAAGACTTTTGGGGACCTCCTTCTATAATCAGGACAGTGCTCCCTCAACTTCACTGGACATCTATAGACTTTTACTGATAGGTGCCCATTCAACTGGTTCACCAGTTGCTTCTTTGCTTTGCTGTTTATGCTCGGGATCCCATTCTTTCTTTTCTGTTCAGGGCCCTGCCTTTCAGCCTAGAGTCAGACTCTGCCCTGATACATGTGAAGGACATGGAGGCTAATTCATCTAGTTAAGCTAGGGTATAGGTTCTTTGGTTAGATGTCTTTTTGTTTTCCTTTTTTACTGCATAACTGTTCATTCATGAATTTGAGCTGGATCTTAACTGGGTATAGTTATATCTTTTATATGTGTCAATCCATACTTTTCTTAGAGCACCCTTTGGGATTTCCTTTAGGTGTTTGTCATCTGCTATGCCAGCAGTTGTTTGGGCTCATACTCTTTTCAATGTCTCTGCAGAGGCTCACTCTTCACATCAGGGATCAGGGACTCTTACAGCCTAGACATGTCCTTTTAAGTTCCCAGTAGATGAGACCCCCTCCTGGGTGGCATTACCTCTGCATGGGTAGGCCCGAGAGCTATCCCTCTAGGGCAGGGATGTCCAAACTCCGGCCCTCCAGCTGTGGTGAAACTACAAATCCCATGAAGCATCTCTCTCCGGGAGTCATGTCTGTGGCTGTGAGAATCTTGCAAAGCCTCATGGCATTCGTAGTTCCACCACACCTGGAGAGCCGCAGTTTGGACATCCCTGCTCTAGGGTATTTATTCACGCCTTCATTGAGGTGATGGTGCTCATTATGTATGGTGGTCCTTACAAGGATAGTGGCAGGGCGTACTTATCCCTCCTTACCCTTTCTCTAACCATGACTCTATCCCCAGCCCTACCCAAACCCTAGTCTTTTCCCCTAACCCTAAGAATACCCTTACCCTACTCTGGGTCTAACCCTACCCCATAGGTATATGGCAAATAGGTTAGTATCTCACATCGGTGGCCTTTCTGAGAAATTGAGGGGGCACCAAGTCTGAGACCCTGCAGTATTATTGGTCTTATCAGTTTTCTGGGCTGTAGCTATTTGGACGATTTGTCTGCCTCCAACATTATACTTAAAGGGTATGGCAGACGTACTCAGCGGATTCCACCTAGTTACAGGGTGTATGGTCTCAGTCAGGACCTTCTTCTTGTCTAATAAGTGGGGGCTGCCACAGGTGGATTTATTTGTGGTGTGCAGCTACTTGTTCTCTCTAGCTTAAGCCTTCCCTCCTTAGGTCCTGCTTCCAAGTGTTCTCAAGAAGATCAGGGTGGGTCTGTGCAAACTGATTCTCATCGCCCCATATTGGCCGAGGAGGTCATGATTCCCTGTCCTCCCAAGGCTTGACTTTAGCAGGACCTCTCCTGTTTTCCTATCCTATCTTCCTTAGCTTTAGTAGTTCCTCCCATGTTAGGGAAGAACTTCACTTGTCCATATAGTCACTGTACAGGACATTCTCTAGCACTGAGGGATAGACACACTTTAGTATAGTGGATACTGTCCTGTTAGCTTTTTTTTTTTCTCCAGTATGTGGCTTTTTTATGTTCAGTGGACTTCCATCAGAGTATCAGAGTAATCTTTCACTCTCTCCTGGCATCTTTCCCTTCCCTCTAAAGCATGCACTAGTCACCTCAATACCCCTCAGTGGACCCTACCAACCTCAACAATCTCAGACCAAACTAATTTATCCCATTCATCTCCAAACTCCTAGAAGCCTTTTCTACAGCCGCCTGAGCCGACACTTCGCTGATAACCTTCTCGACCCCTTACAGTCCGGCTTTCGCCCCCTACACTCCACTGAAACCACCCACCTAAAACTCCCTAATGACTAACTGCTAAAAACAATGGCCACTACTCCTTACTCTTGCGATTAGACCCTTCTGCTGCTTTTGACACTGTTGACCACTTGCTCCTCAAAAAGCTCCCCTCGTTTGGCCTACAAGACTCTGCTCTCTCATGGTTCTCCTCCTACCTATCTAAGCGCTCCTGTAGTGTCACCTAAAAAATGTACTCCTCCCCTCCTCTTCCTCTTTCTGTAGGGGTCCCCCCAAGGCTCTGTCCTTAGACTCCACAACTTGCCCCCTCAGTATCCTTGCATGTCGCTAATCTACTAACTGACATATCAGTCTGGATGTCACGACACTTACTAAACCTCAACTGTTCAAAAACTGAGCTCATGATATTTCCTCCTGCCCGTGCACCTTCCCCCAACTTTTCCTGTGAGATTGATAACACCGCTATCCAACCCTCCCATGTCAAGGTCCTAGCTGTCATCCTTGACTCAGACCTCACCTTTCTTCCCCACATCCAATCACTATCCAAATCCTGCCGCCTTCACCTTCGTAACATCTCCAAAATATGCCCCTTCCTCACCAATAAAACCACAAAATTACTAATTCACTCACTTGTTATCTCTTGTCTTGACTATTGCATCTCCCTCCTCATTGGCCTACCACTACACAGGCTATCCCCCCTTCCATCTATAATGAATGCAGCTGCTAGACTCATTCACCTAACAAACTGCTCAGTGTCTGTAACCCCCCTTTGCCAATCCCTGCACTGGCTTCCAATAGCCCAAAGGATAAAATTCAAAATATTACCAAGGACTTACAAAGCCATCCACAACTCTGCCCCCGGCTATATATCATACCTAGTCTCAAAGTATCACCCTAACTGTCCCCTCCGCTCTCCCAAAGACCTCCTGCTTTTCAGCTCCTTTGTCAACTCCTCCCATGCTCGTCTCCGGAACTTCTTTAGAGTCTCTCCCGTCATCTGGAACTCTTTACCCCAACCTGTCGGTCTATCTCCCAGTCTGACTGCCTTTAGGCAATCCCTTAAGACTCATCTCTTCAGGTAAGCCTATCCCACCTCAAACTAAACACTCAACCATCTTGTCTTCAAACAATTAATCCCCAGACACCTTCCTTTTAGATTGTAAGCCCTCTCCTTGCCATCTTGTCTTGAACTGTATTGTGATTTTAATGTCTTTAAAAGCGCCGCGCAAACTGTTTTCGCTATATAAAGCCTGTATAATAATAATCTCCACTGGTTGCTCCTCATGCTGAACTCTTAGCCTGTATGTATCTACTTTACTACACAATGCTCTCTCTGAAGTTCTTGCAGGGGAGTCTTTCCTTTTCTCACTGTTTTTTTTGTTTGTGCACATTATCATATTTTTATGCTATTGTTTTTAGGGGGTGAGAAGGGGTCCACCTCGAAGAATTGTATTAACACCTAGCAAACTACATATATTCCCTTTACAGGGATTGTGATCTAGAGCTGCAGCTAACGATTATTTTCAAAATCGATTAGTTAGCCGATTAGTTAGCCGATTATTAAGTTCGATCGGTTAATCGGATAAAAAATAAAATAGATTTTTTAAAATGGCTCCAGTGATGGGACTACTAGTTTGTATTGAGATTGTAGTCCATTACAGGAGCAAGCTTGGAGCGGTGGAAGTAAAAAAGAAAAAAAGTGTGGTGTGCAATATAGTGAAATGGAAAGTGTAAAATTATACAGCAATGAATGCAGAATGGCACCGGCTATAGAGGACTACAAAACCCAGCAATACATTATACAATAAAGTGTATAATGTAAAAAAAAAAAAAGTGTGGTGTGCAATATAGTGAAATGGAAAGTGTAAAATTATACAGCAATGAATGCAGAATGGCACCGGCTATAGAGGACTACAAAACCCAGCAATACATTATACAATAAAGTGTATAATGTATTGCTGGGATTTGTATTCCCATGTATAATATACAGCCCAATGTACCATCAGCTATATGGGAATACAAATCCCAGCAATACATTATAGAGCACCATGTTTGGGAAAGTGTAGGCTTACCTGAGCAGTCTTCCAGCAACTTGCTTCTGAGATCGGGCCTGTCTATCGGCGGCTGTCATCCCCCCGCCCCCGCTCCCCCTTACTTCTTCTCTCCGCGTCCCTGTGCCAATCGTGGATGTGGGCGGCGAGCGTGAAGCGGGGAGAATGTGCGGCGTGTGTATGCGGGCAGGCGGGTCTGGCAGCGGCGAGCATGAGGTGGGGAGGAGGTGCGGCACACAGCATGTGTGGAGCCGTGAACAGGGCCAACTAATCAGAAGCCGATTATTCGATGATTGAAAAGGTTGACAACTTTTTCAATCATCGATTATCTCGATGTTGCAGCCCTATTGTGATCTATGTTTGTTCCTTTTTGATAAGGCCTGAGTTTTTCTGCATTACTGTATGTTTCCCTTTTCTGGTTTCTTTAAAGCCAAGGACTGAAAGGTATTCTGAACAATTTCAAAGTGGAATTAGAGTTACAAAATATGGGACAAACTGAACGAAAGTGTATTAACATACAATGCACCATCTAAGCCTTGAGATATTTAACCTCTTGTTAGAACAGACAATGTTCAAATCTAAATTAAAACTGATAAGATCTGCTAGCGCAATACATGGGTTACAGGTATGGTAAACATAACTCCACAGCCCCCTCCATAACATTACATAGCAATGGAGAGCTAGGTACACGCAAAAATGGTAGGCAGCTTTTTTTGTTTGTTTTTTGTTAAATATGCTATGCGAATGGGAATATGTAACAAATAAAAAGTAGGTGTTATGCTTTAACCCCTTCGTGACTGACGACGTACAGTGTACGTCGCCAGCATCGGGGCTGTTTAAACAGACTCCCGGCGACTTTTGAGGCAACCATTTTAAGTAGGTGAGCAGTAGCAGCCTTCATGTTTTTCTTATATCATGTTTATTCAAATATACTTTCTTTGAAAGGTGAAACAGCTACGTTTAGAACGTGAACGAGAAAAAGCTATGAGAGAGCAGGAGCTGGAGATGCTACAGCGAGAAAAAGAAGCTGAGCACTTTAAGACTTGGGAGGAACAGGAAGACAATTTTCATCTTCAACAAGCAAAACTCAGGTCTGTTTTGTAATTATCTTAATTCTATAGAAATCGAGTGGCTTTTGTATTGACTGTTATCTAGATTTTGCATATTAATGTAGTTCAATGAAAGCTGGCGTGCAGGCAAACTGCTGCTAAATGAGTTGTAATTCCATTCAGCTAGTCTTGTGATTGAGGTACCAGAGGGACCTCTTCATCTTCGCTTCCTCTCTGGGCAGGGCGGTCCTTACTGATGCAGCGATATTGTGATGACAAAATACAGTGCTACTGAAAACCCCTTGACAAATGTAAAGATAAATATTATTACAACAAATATAAAAAGAAACACAAAAAATCATAAATCACTATTCAATTAAATGACAGCAGTGGATTAATTCATAAAAAGTCCATACACTATATTGGTGTTCTTCATAATATCCAGTAGGTGTTGCAAAGTAGGTGCTGATGAATCCACTGTGAGTAAACTGTATCGCCAGTGACACCCACACTCAACGAATGACAAGCAAAGTAAAGAATTCCAAAAGTGCAGAGTTGTAGAGCACAGTGTGCAGAGATCCTTTTCTCCTTTAAAGGAGAACAATGAGGTGAAAAAGTTGTCAACTTTTTCAATAATCGATTAATCGGCTTCCGATCAGTTGGCCCTGTACACAGCTCCACACACGCTGCACCTCCTCCCCACCTCACACTACCTTCTCATTTTCATATTCTTCAGGTCTTTATGGACTTTTTTAAAATGCTGAGATATACTATGTTTCTCAGAACCCTTTTTTAATATTATTTACATGTTTCTTTACTCTTACAGTTAACTTTCTCGTGTCATAGAAAATTAAGTTCTTAATCTCATAAGTTGTTACTGTCTTAATGTATTTAAACTGGGTCAATTTCCTAGTGGCATTCTTAATGGTATACATGTAGAAACTGGTAGCCGATACAGCAATCATCCTAATAAATGCTTTATTTTAAAATGGCATAAACAGTCTTCTGTATATGGCCTGTATATAGCTTGACATGCAGCTAAACCCTCTTATTCTGCAATAAGCCAAACTTGATGAAATCTTGAAGCCTTATTAACAAAACAGGGTGGGTGAAACAGGTGAAAAAGAACATGAAAACATACAATCAATATATGAACATATAAATAGAGTGATAGCTCACAAATATAAAGATAAACAAGTCCGTCCCTACCAGCGATGCTGCCATATGGGGAATCTGGGTGTTTACTCCAAACATTGGCTCAGGATGGCATTAGATCCGCGCCTCGGTTCCAAGATGGAGTCTGAGTTCCCAGAATGCACTTGTTAATTTCTTCTTGGGCTGAAGGTTGTTTGGAATTTTTTTTTAAAGGAAAGGTAGTCAAAGTTCACTGTAAATAGAGATATTTTCTTAGCACCATCTTGTGGCCAATTTTGAGAAGTCAGGTAGGCAAGGCAATAAATCTAATGCATGTAAGGGAGAACAAACAGCATACAAAAAACTGCTGACATGTTTCAGCCCTTGCTGCGGGTGTTGACTAATTAGATCTAGCTGCCCATAGACTAACACTGGGCTTCTGATCAGATGTGCCTGAAAAGCTGACATGCGGACCTGAATGGAATGCATGTGCGAAAGGGTTCCTAGGAGAAAAAAGATATCTGAATCCCTGTACATTGTGCCATACAATGTTGTAGTTTATTAGGTGTCACTCTGGTGAGTGTAGGTGTCATTGAAGTTACAGTTTGCTCACTGTGGATTCATCAGCACTGATGTGGTGTTTGCAGCACCTATAGGATATGATGAAGAACACGGACATTGACATATCACATTATATTTTTAGGCAGCGGTAGTTCAAAAGCTGCACAGAACTCACTTATTAAATGTCTCTTTCTTCATGGAGTGAAGTTTTTGTTCTGCAACCATGGAGATTTTTGATTTCTGATACATGAGCGGCGTCAGAGCGGAGAGAACGTCTGGTCCTGCAGATGCGCGCATGAGGGGGGATCGAGAGCTGAACGGAGGATCAGATTGGAGCAGGTGACTGAACGAGAGAGAGAGAGAGAGAGAGAGAGAGAGAGAGAGAGAGAGAGAGAGAGAGAGACTAGTAACGAGATCCTCTATCGGCTGAGCTTTCAGAAACAGGAGCGAGCGAGTGAGGGAGTTGATTGATTGGCTGTGACCGGGTCAGGCGGCTGAGGGAAGAGAAGGAGGGAGAGAGATTGCATGCAAGTGGCTGGAGGACTGATTGGCTGAGAGTAAGCATGGTGAGCTGAAATAATTGTTGGTGATTGATTGCACTGAATTGAACTAATTTTGAATGTATAATTCAGAATGTAGAGTTGTGTTAGCCTGTATGAAGCAGATGGTGAAACTAGTTGGATTGATGGCAGCGCCTCCTTCCAAAGAGTATCCTCCAGTGGTCCCAAATCCAATTCCCACCCCTCTTAACATTTCAAGGGTGATTTACATAAAACCCCTGGTAATAAATGTAAGCACATTCTTGAAATCACCCCCTTGTCACAGTTACTTGAAAAAACATATCTATCACCATATTCGAACTGATACACACATCACCTATTCCAGAATGTACAGTAATGTCAGTTGTAAGTATTTATCAAACTGGAAATTTGACAATGAATACAACATTTGTAAATACTGAAATGATCGTAATGTACCTTGATCATAATTTTGTGTGAATGTCAAAATCCCCGCTCGTTTCCACACCCCAAAACCCTGCAGTTTGCACACCTGATACACTTCCCCATTTTCCCATAGTGGAGTATATATTGTAAACATAGAAATACCCAGTAGACTTTTGGTTAATCTCCACACTTTACCAATTAACCTTATAGTGGATAAAAATTCCTTCACGTAAAATAAAAAGCAATTAATTTTGTAGGACCTGCGATAATTATGAAAATGTTTGTCAAATCAATATTAAATCAATGAAAAATACACAAATGGATGAAAGCAAACTAAAATCAGTATCAGTGGCCAAAACAAATACTTTTCCGACTAAATCTAAAAGATAAACTGTATTGAGTTAATATTTGTAAAATTTAAATTGCGCCATTTTTATGAAATGGTAAAAAAAGTTAAGTAAAGCAAAACTGTAAATAAGCAACTTATGTAAAAAATCGGTTGTGCGTTGGTGTGTGTGTTGTGATGCCTTGTGAGGGCTGCGGGCTTCCTTTAGTGGATGCTTCCCTTTCCCCTCTGTGCGGCCTGTACACGTGCGCCCCTTTCCCAGTCGCTATTTCTCCCCTCGGGGTCCTCGGTGGGGGTGGTCAGTACCGTGGGTACTGTGCTGTCCTTAGAAGTGTTTTCGTTCACTATTGACGGTTTTAGGACTCACGTTGAACACGTGTTGACACAGAGGCCTCCTAGGAAGTGCACTCTGCTGTCGCCTTCTCCTGTTCTTTTGGGGGAGTCGGAAGAGGAGGGGGAGATTTCTGCGGGTCGACTCATCCGAACCCAGGGGGATTCTTCCCAGCCGGATTCAGGAAGAGAAGAGTCGGCGGCCACACTTATGGTTCAGGACTTATGGACCGACTTAGTCTTTCTTGGTTCCAAAGCGTTTCTGTTCGCTATCCGTTTGAGGAGCCTTTTTTTACTAAGTGGGTGTGTCCTCCGACGGTGGATCCTTTGGTCTCGTTCCTAAACAAAGCTACTGTCATTCCGGTGGAAGATTCTCCTTTTTCGGGATCCCATTGATAGGAAGTATGTGTTCCGTCTCAGGTGCTCTCATGCGTCCGGTTTTGGCCTTGGCTTTGGTCTCTCAGACCTTGATGGAATGGGCGAAGATGTTGCACCAGGACCTCCCAGGAGAAAGCGTTCCTCTCTCCTATGTTGAGGTGGCGGAACAGTGCAGTGCCTGAAGTACGTTTGCATTTCGGCTTTGGATGCTGCGCCGTTGGCTGATTAAATCCCAAGAAGGCTCTGGCAGAGCTTCCCTTTACAGGGGCTACGCTGGATGAGATCATTAAGGATCTGACGGGCGGTAAGAGTACTTTCTACCTCAGGCTAGGAAGCCTAAGGAACAATGTCAGAAGCCTGGTCCTTCCTTCTCTGCTCATAAGCGGTCTTTTTGGCCCCCTCTGTTCTCTGAGTAGGGCACAAAGTTGTCCAAGCCTCCCCCTTCCCAAGCCACCAAGCGTCCCTGGCAACTTAAAGTGACCTTAAACCCTCAGATTTTTTTACATGAAACAATACTGTAATGCAGGGGTGCCCATAAGGTCGATCGCGATCTACCAGTCGATCGCAAAGCTATCGCTGGTAGATCGCGGGTCGACTCCCTGTCCCACGCTCCGTGTACCCGAATGTGTCAGACGCTAAAGCATCCGACACATTCGTCTCTCCCCTCCTGTCTGAAGCGGCCAATAACCTTTCCTACCGCACGTAGCGTAGGTGGCCGCCTCTACCCGCACAGACACAGACACACTTTGTCCACACACTCGGCCCGCCCCTCCGTCTTCGTCAGCGTCCAATAATCATTGCCTCCCGCACGTAGTGGCATCGGCTGCTCCTCCCTCTCAGTGTGCACGTTTGACTGGCCCCTCCCCGCCCATAACTTTGGACACCTCTGACCTGCTCCAGTCTGCAGCATCAAGCACGTTGGGACCACACCTGAAGAGCCAGAAGCAGGTAGGCTATTGGCTTGAGTGGGATCTGACAGTATAGTTAAGGGGCTGCACAGCTAAGACTTCTAAAGCCTCCTTCACACCATCATCAGTGTGTTCCGGCGCTATTGTGGCCGGAATGTACCGGATCGCATTGCGGCCGGCTCAGTTTGTTGTGGGGTGGGAGGGGGTGTTGTGATGTGTTGGAAGTGAATGGCACCGCAGCCATGCCCTCCGGCCGCAATGCGATCTGCCGCACGGAAACGAAAGGCACATCAATGCCTGCGGTCCGGTCAGAAAAAAATAGTGCTAGCAGCATTTTTTCTGACTAGACCGGATCGCAGGCACTGATGTGTGTTTCCGTGTGGCCGATCGCATTGCGGTCGAAGGGCGTGGCTGCGATGCCATTCACTTCAACACACTGCC